CTATTAGCTCGACTACAACCATCACCAAACGATACAATACCAATAATATACCATCGATTATTGCTAAATAACATTAATGGTCCACCTGAGTCACCACGACCTATTCAATATAAAAAGAAGAAAAACTTAATATAATTGTTATCAAAATACTAGAGATCGAATCGATTCGGTTTCAAAAAAAAACACGAATCGATCTTCTCTATACAAAATACTTTATCTTACAAGCATCTTTTTTTCCATCAGACCAACCAGCACATAATTGATAATCACTTGATTCAATAGATGGACAAAGAGATGGTGAAAGTGTTTGTAAATCAGCATGCATTAAAACATTAAGACTTGAACTATATTCAGCATTTGAACCCCATCCAGCAACCCAAACTCTAGTACCATTATCAATTGTTTGTTCATTTGTTGCTAAACAAATTGTATCAACAAGTGAACTTCGTACAATTGGTTCTTTTAATTTTAATATAGCTATATCATGTAAAAGTGTATTATGATTAAAACCGGGATGAATACAAGCATGTTCAAGTGTAAATGTACGTGATTGTTGTTGTTGTTCATTTTTATTCGTATTTCTACTACTAATTATATCAGTTTCAATATTAATAACATCAAATGATGCACGATATGTATCTTTTAATGATGATTGATAACGATTGGGTAAACGCATTGTATCAAATGTTGGTAATTGATTACTAAGACAATGTGCAGCAGTTAATAGATAACGATTAGCAATTAATGTTGCAGCACATTTTTGTGTTATATTTATCCAACGATTTGTATCATCACGAAAATAAACACCAACGACAGCCATCCATGGCCATTGTCCACGATATGATTGATCACCATTAACAATTCGTGCTTGTCGTCGATTAACAGGTAAACCACATTCAGTACATTCACCAGTATCATTTTTTGTTATATTTAAAGTACAACAATCAAAACGATCTCGAGTTAATATACATGAACGACCACGTTCACATACTGATGGTATCAATTCACATTCATTTATTTTTGAACATTTACCATTTTCATGCATAATATGACCAGGTAGACACTAGAAGAAAAAAAAATGTTTTGTTTTTGCTTTTATTAAAAATTTTTTTTCATATATTTTTATACTTGACATTTGTATCCATTTGATGAAGATACAACACATTCACTATGTGGACCACATAAACCGTTTTGTTCTGCACAAATGTTTCTTGGTATACATTGCTCATCATTTGTTTGACTGTTTAAACATTGACAATAATAACGACCTGGTAAATTAATACAAGTACTTATACTTGTATTACATGGTGTATAAAGATCACATTCATTTATATCAACACAAGAATCTTGATGATTTTCACGAGTAAAACCTGGTCGACAACGACATATATAACTACCCATAGTATTTATACATTGCATATTAAGACCAGTACATGTATGATATCCAGCACCATTAAGACATTCATTACGATCTATACATGTACATGATGATGTTGATAAACTTCTTTCATATCCAATTGGACAATCACATGATGATAAACGAATGACAAAATTTGAAGTAAGCATTAAAAGAAAAATAGTTATCAAGAAAAGTACTAAAATAAACGTAAGAATACATATATATCGATAACGATATCGATAAAAACATGTGTGTTTTTGTTTATTTTCTATTGAATTTCTTGATGTAGATGTTGACGGAATTGATAATGATACATTTGTTCGAATTGATGTTGTTGTTGTTTGACAAGTATTTGTTGATGATTTTGTAGTATCATTCGATGGATTACGTAAAACATTGAGTGCATAGAGTTGATAAAATAGTAATGATGGTGAAAATGAAGATGATGATACTGAATTAGAATGTGTTTTCAACGGAAGACCATAGAGAGAACGTCGAAAATTTCTAAATTTACAAAAAAATTTATTGTAATTATTCAAATATTTGTTGCTATCAACAAGCTATCGAATGAATACTACATGAATTATTGAATAAGATATTAATGAATGATAAATATGAATTGTTAAATATATCACATAGAGAATAGCTGTAGTTTCTTATTAATATAACTTTTGCACGCACGGAAAAATAAGTCAAAATGCTTATCTTATTAAAATATAATTAGAATAGTAGAGTTCTAGTAAGCAGATGTACTGTGAATTCTTCCTAAAAACTAAATAATAGCCTAATAAGATTCAGATAAAATCATGGAGAAAAATTGAAATCTTACTTTATTCAAAGAATTTTTTCTCTAGACCATTTTATACGAATTACAACGGCAGAAAATGTCAGTTAAGAACGAATGAAACAATGTTTAATTAAATTTTTCAACTGAAGAAATAAGACACAAAGACATGATTATGAATATTATTTACTGGTAGACAATGATATGATCACTGTACTCGTTAATATGTATGAGTATAACGCTAGATTATTTTACTCTAAACTCTCAAGTATCGATTCTTTGAATATAAGTATTAGTTTGTAGTTATTTAGATATATTCACGATCATGTTATAAGTCTATCGTCAATCAACCGTAATAGAAAAAAAAAATGTCGATATTTTTTAAATATAAAGCAGCTTATTTAATCAAAATCAATTCAAAAAAAACAAGCAGTCACCTTTATGAACTTTCTTGCCCATATATCTTTTGACTACGGCATTCTATCACTATTATGACATACTAAAAAAAAGTGTCTAATGATGATGAATGATAAATCGAATGTAGCTAATAACACAAAAAGATTTATCCAATCCGGATATACTCTTTAGTTCTCTTCTATTTTTTTTCCTATTCATGAAGCCAAAAAGCCATTGTCTACTGATCGAATTTCAGCGTTATTCTTTCGGTCCGATAATCATGTTATTACCGAGAAATTATCTATAATTACAATATTCCATAGAGTGAGTAAACAGAATCGGAACAAATGAATTGGTTTGTATATCTATCAATAACTTTTACTTGAGTCATTCTTAATCTCTTTTTGTTATGATTTGTTTACCGGAGATATTCTAAAATAAATTTATTTATGTAATTTGTAAGTATCAGTCTAGTTTACGAGTTTCAATAATCCTAAATAAAATATTCAAAATCTCCAATGGTAGAAGAAGAAAAGAACTAAGATAGAAAAGGAAACAACAACTAATTTTTAGTACTGATGAATATATGGGTTTTTGTGTGCTTGCCATTATTTTGTAGACATTCAGGAATACAAAAAAAACAAGGAACATGTTTTATCGTTTTCATTATCTCTTTATGATTCGCGATCTGTGAAACAACAAAGCAATTTTCTTGATCTATGAAGAACAAGACGGATGTGTGCTTCAATTGAGGTTTTCGATTACTTTTATTGCTATTGACGCTTTCCAGAATATTTTTCTAGTTTAAGATTATTTCATTGTTACGATTCTTCTTTTCTTATTAGTAGGTGACATCTGTAGCAGCAAATAAAACAGATGTTCAATAAAACAAAGAAAATTAAGATAGGAAAAAAACGACGCAAATAATAAATAAAAAAAAAGAAATTTGACGAGAAGCAATGTTTTTAGAAAATAGAAAAAAAAGAAACGAAAACTCCTAATGTGTTCAGAGTTATCATTAAATATCTACCTGATTGTATTTGTCGATACTTTTGTTATTGGTACTAATGTACTACTATTGGCATCAAATAACGATGAATCATCAACAATAATTTCATGTGAACTGATGGCATCATTGGCAACCTGAGATAAATTCGCTACTGTATTCATCCATCCAACATACGTAAGAGTCGTGCTTGTAACAATGAATATTGGTCATTTACGGCAAATGGCGTGATGACAGTAGCCGAAGATAAATATCACTTTCGATGTACGCGTACAATCTCTAAGCCATCATACTATTAACACAAACGCAAAAAGGCGACGTTCGATGTCGGTGACGACTATAGTGTATTATGTACATGTTTGCACACTGCAATGAAAAAGCTTCCAAGAAAAAAATGTTACATAAAGAAAAAATAAATGACGTTTTATTTTTTTTAAATGGATAGATTTTAAGTAGCACTTAGTATTTTTCCTTTTTTTTTTATGCGTAAAAAGCAAAATAGAAAATCACATGCATTCAAGTTAGGTAAAATTGCATTAGACATTTGGTACCAAGATTTTGATATGTGGAAATTAAGTTAGTTCGCATAACCGAGCATTGCCTCCAGCTTTCGGCTGTCTGTCACTATGATACAAGAAAAAAAAAGAGAAGATTTCGTCGTGCAATTAGAGCTAGAACGTACAAGCTAGTGTCGCATCCCATCAAAGTGATTGTAGGATCTTTCAGTTTACATGTATGTGTATGTTGCTTTCCATAAAGAAGAAAGAGTGAAAGATAGAGAGCATAAAAAGGGAAAAAAGAGAAGCGAGAAAAAATATATTCAGGAAAACAGAAATTGATATAACAGTAAAAGCAGATTCTTCAGCGATTTTTTGTCAACAAAGTAGCATTCATATATTCCAGAATCTGTATGCTATCTTTGTTATTATATGATGAATTTTGAACTGAAAATATAGCAATTGTGTTATCAAGAAAAACATGGTAGAAGAGTTTGTATATATCTACATACATATATATATATATATTGTTGTGTGTAAAATGTTGAATAGAACATTTGACCGGATATTCAGTGACATCGTTCATTATATTTGCGTGAGAATAGATGGGCGGCAAGAACATTCTTGTGCGACAAGCAGCTTCCGTACTTGCTCTACATGCCTGCCTCACATTTACTATTGAGTTACTGAGTTTTCATTATATGATGCGTCTGTAAAACTTACAAACGAAAAAATTACTGTTAGTATTACTATTCATCGTTACCGACACGTCTTTTTCTTCTATGTTTAATATAAAAAAAAAACCTTTTTCTTTTTCTTTCCTTCGTAATTTAGTTTTCTTCTTGAAGCTTTTTTGTTTTTTTTAAACGCTTTTTTCTCTTGTACCTCTAAATTCATTTTTATGTTTTATTATCCTAGATGGAATCTTTTTTTCGTCGTATGTCATCAATTGTTAGAAGAAATAGCAATAAATCTACTGATGCAGATGAACATGATGAAGACGATAATCAACAACAAGAACGTTTTCGACAAATACGTGAACGTCGACTTTCAGCGCCTGATATCCATCGACGTACGATGCCAGTTGATCGAATTCCAATGGAATCTGATCAAAAGGCTACATTATTCGAACAAATTAATTCTCCAACATTGACGGCACAATCTAGTAGTAATATTCTTACTCGTAAAAATTACAGATCTATAGGTGAGTTATATCTGTTTAATTCTTTGAAATAAATAAGAATATTATTGTAAATTAAAGTTGAATATAGTAAAACAAAAAATTTTCTCTCTTAATCAATAGAAGAAACAATTTTTTTAAAAATATCTAATTAGATAATTGTTCTTCTTCTACATAGTATGATGTTCTTTTTTTTGCACCTTTAGTTGTAAACGTCAATATGAATTAATACGATTGATAATTTGAGATTATTGCTTGAAAAACTATCTAGTTATTAATTTTGAAATATTTGATATTCTTTGATTAATTTGAGTTTTGAAATAAATATTTTTATTTGCTGGTTGTCTAGATACATCATCAGAATTTTTCTTATTGGTTTCTTTTTTTTTTGTATCAAAGTAAAGAAATATTTCTGATAAAAACTAAATTCGATAACAAATATTGTTTATGTTATTGAATAGAATATCTCATAGACTTTATATATATTCATATAATTTGGATATAAATTACTTAGTTTCATCTGAAAGATAAATTCTGTAAAAATAGAAATCAACAATTGTTCAAATAATGAATGGAAAAAGCCGAGTTACTTCAAAAAAGAAAAAATATTAATTATAAATTATATTTTACAATGAACAATTCATTTCATCTACTGACGGAAACAATTTCTATCAAAAAATTTTAGAACTTCAAACTTTTAAAGACTTTGTAGAGCATAAACCAGGTTTCATTCATTTTGTTTTTTTATTATTATAAACTATAGTTCTATTTCCTTTTCTTTTAAGTACAAAATTATTTTAACGTTTGCACTTGAATAGTTGATGCTTCATATCTTTTTTTTTTCTTTTAAAGTAAATATGATTGATATTTGAATTTATTCATGCAAACTGAAAAGGACTAAAAATAAAATGTTAATATATTTTTAAAACTAAATTTATTAAAGATTCTATTTTAATTTTGAGATGCAATAATGACGATGAGAAAAAAAAACGCTTTTAAGTAATCAAAAAAAATCATGTAGTTTGAAACAAATATTAACATTTTTACGTAGAGAAAGATCAACTACATGTTTTCTTATTCAAATTTTTTTTTTCTTTATCTTTTGATCTATTCATTTAACGTGCCGTTTTGCATTTTTGGAAATGAATAATAAATGAGTTTTCTTTTTTTTTCCTTGATAAATATAAAAGAGAGTTAGTCAAGTGTCTTTTATCCATAGCAATTTCTTCTAATTTGTACGATTATAAATGCATTTGTAACAAGTTCTGACGTGATTAATTACTATATGTCTTAATGAATTGCATTGTTATATAAAAGTATCTTGTTTATATATAAATAATATAGGCACAATTTAATTAGACCTTTGAAAACTAATATAACATTATTTTCCAGGCAACAATCCTATGGATTTAATCGCCGGAAAAACAGAAATCAGGACGTACATAGTTGCTCTTTTTGTTCAATCTACGATAATGTCACACAAATTAGTTATTCACTTGTTTTTTTTCCTCTGTAATAGCTTCTTCTTTTGTCTTCTCGTATAGATAAATATATATCTTGGTCTTATATAATTAGTTGATTTCAGTATTTTTTTTTTCGAACGTCTAAATAAAAGATTCATATTAGGTTTTGATGACAATGCGTATGTGAGTAGGTGTTCGTTAACGTTGATTTTAACTTATGAACACACATACAAACAGGAATATACTACGTGACACTTATAGCAGAAAATTTTCTTAGTTTCCGTTCTTTTTCTTTTTGTTGCTTCTAACCGGAAGTCGAATGTTTTGAAGTATGTGTTCATTCTGAATGATGTTACCGGATTGGATTAATCTGCGAGGAATGATATAGACACCCATTTGTTGTTATTATCATGGCGATCTTCGATCATACTATTTTCGTGATGGTAATCGTTGTTTACATAGACAAGGAAATGTCATCTAACTTATGAACCAGAAGATGGAAACAAAAATTATAAAAAAGATGTTGAAAACAAAGGGCCAAAAGGCACACGCACAATTCATTGTTTTTCTCGCTCAAGACAAGGTTGCTCAATCGCCTACACTCCTCACAAGCATTGACTATACTTCCTCTATGATTACTTCTGTTATTGTTCCAGTGGGACACCGAGACAGAAAGAAAAGAGGGTGGAAAAGAGTAGTGACGAAGAAAAAAAAACAGAACGAAGAATAAAGAAAGAGAGAAACATGCACGAGAGAAAAGCGAGAATAATCATCATTTTTTTTAGTAGTCGTTGTCTAAGTCTTACACCTGCGTGACTATATTTATTGGATAAACATGCCGATTTCCATTGTAATTCTCGAATAGTATGTCGTATTGTACTTAGTATTTATGCGATTATTTCTGTTAATGATTATTACCTTTGAAGAAAAAAAAAGAGAATAATTTTGCGTATAAACATTTATAAATTGATCGTTTAACAAAAAAAAATACGTATGTCTAAATTGGGTTCGTTTTTTCGTCGAATATTTTCTTCAACTTCTTCTGATAATCAATGTCCATCACCATCATTAAAATCAGAATTCGAAGATGTGCCTGTCAATGCACCTTTATCATCATCAAAATCAACAAAATCTAACCTAACTACCAAGACTACTCAATCATGTTCAACATCACCTCGTACGGTGATAAAACAACAAACAATAAATACTGATAATAGAAATGAAAGCTCTAATTCTAATTTTCTTTCATCACATGTCGATAAAATCAATATGCGTCGTCTTAGTGCTCCTCTTATTATTCATACGTCAACTCGTCATCATCCTCAATATTCGTCAACAATAGTAAATGAAAGTACGGAACAAGCATTGCTGTCATCATTACAACGCCTTTCAGTGTCGTCTTCAACAACAACTACTGCTGGTCCTAATAGCAGTATTCATAGTTTAGGCATTAATGATGGAGGTTCAACAAGTCCACTAACACGTCCCGATGTTCGTTCAGTGTCTTTCAATTTATCACTATCACCGAGCTCGTTAAGCAACAATCTAGTAAACAATATTTTGCCAACATCGGGTAGGTAGAGAATGTTTATTTGCTTTAGAAATATAAGTTGGCACATATAAGTGCACTATACAATCTAAGTATATATAAGTTTTATCGATTTTTTTTCTTTAATTTTTATTCGTGAGTTCATTTTTTTTTTGTGGTTAACAATATCAATCAAGCAAAAACGATTTATATTTGTAATGACAAGAAAAGAAGAAGACAAAATAAAAGAGCGATCATTTCTAATCAAGCAGAATCGAAATTGATCGCTTTCTTTACTTACTTAGATCTTCTTGCTGTTTTTTATGTGCAATGTATAATCTATCTAACAATCTAATTTATAAAAGGAGATGGAAATTTGTGTAATGTCAACAGACATCGATTGAATGACGTCTATCGTCTATGTTGTCCTTCATTTATAAATGGTTTCTACGTTGTTTCAATTTTACACAAAAGATTTTTGGAGAACAACAATGATGATAATGGTGATAATGATGATGATGATGATGATAAGGCAATACATTTTCATCAAAAGAGACTACACATAGAAATGAAACGAGAATGAGAAAAACGGAAATTAGAACGGTGAGAAAGAATAGAGTTAGAAGCACTAAAAATATAAAAAAAAAAGAGACAAAGATAAAGAAACATGATGAAATAGAAACACGAAGGAGAGGAAAAAAATAACGGTGTTGTGATTGTGACTTCTTCAAATTGTCTTTGTTTGAAAGACACGAGTATTTTATAAATACAAGGTCGATCTGATTATGTGTATGCCATCGATTTTCGGTGTCGACATGCTGGATGTTCATTAGTTGAGCATGCCTTTTGGGATTGTGTTAAAAGGGTTCAATATTCTCGATTTTTTTCTGTCTCTTTCTTACTATCATTCTATCCCAAACGCACTTAAGAGAAAAGATTATCGTTGAAAAGACGATGAGAAAAAAAAAGATTGTAACTGCTTGTATGTTTCTGATTATTTTTTATGCCAATGCTCATCGGTTTATAGAACTCTCAATCGGTCTCAACTTATCATCGATGTATAGTACTACTTATTATTAAAATCGGATAGAATATTAAAAAGGAAGAGAATGACATTGAACAACTATATTTGATTTTTTAACGAGAAATACTGATTACATTTGTATGTATATATTATTGTCATCGTTTGCATAAATGAAAGTAACGAGAGCATAGATACACACATTTATACAGATCAGAATTATGGCACACATCAATTTTTCTTCCCATATGTGTGTTTCTACTTTGTTATATATTTTGAGTTCCAAAAATGAGAAGGCGATGTAAACAATAGCAACGACAGCAACGAGAAAAGTTCATCAAGCTCTTTTCTTCTTTTTTTTTTCTGTTTTTCTTTTGCTTTCTCTTTCTTGTTACCACTAATAAAATTTGCGAGACACTCATGTCTAAATCGGACATGAAAAATCAGGAAATTTTCTCTTTATATGTCTTATTTTATTTGACATAGGCACACCGCCAACACAAGCTATCATTGGTACACAATCGTCACCACGCGCTAGTATTACATCAAATAATTCGCCATCACACAGCAATGCTATGAAAGATATTTCACCTGTGGTTGAAACTGCAACAGGTACTAATTCGGATAGAAAAATGTCATTGCCACCACGAGGACGACGTCCATCTATGTTTGATCCAATTGATCCTAAAGAATTACAACAAGCTTTATATGCTTCAGCTGCTGCTGTAAGTTAAATATGATAATGCATAAGACTTTGTCTGAAAAAAATTTTCTACTATAGAAAAGTTCTATGACAATAAATTCAACAAATGAAGATGATTCAAATCGAGCTATGTCATTGATAAAAATCAGTTATGATCGTGAAGGTGAACATATTTTTATCGATACTTTATCTTTTGAAAACATGCAAATACTTGATGCATTTGTTAATAATAATCATAATATTAATATGGCCTTATCATCAACAACTACTGCGAGTGCTAATACAAATCATAATGATTTTATATCATTTTATTGTCGTTTTCGATTATGGCCTGAAAAACGTAGTTTATTTCAAACAAAAATAGTTCGCTATCCACGTTCTCAATCATCTTATTTATTTGATGTAAAACAATTAAATGATTTTGAATTATCATTTGATCAATTAAATAATCATTTTATTGAACTACTTTTATATAAAGTAGGAACAACAAAACCATCCTATAAAGATATTCGTATTGCTACAGTTAAATATGAACTTGGAGGTTTAAGCGAAGCGGATCAAATTTCATTGAAAAAACCATTAGATGAGTCTGATCCATCATCAATAATACAAGTTAGAAAATCGTTTTTCTTTTTTTTGTTCTTATTAAAAGACATTAATATATTATTAATTTCTTTTTTAATAGGATCCAGATTTAGGTGATTTACTTGTTTCATTATCTTATTTACAAAGTGCAGCTAAATTAGCTGTTGTTGTACTTGAAGCTAAAAACTTACGACCACTTTCTATTGAAAGTAAACCATTTCCAGGTAAAGATTTTAAGTAAAAAAAAATGATGAAAGAGATTTCTTTCTTTTTAAATATTATAGAAGCATGTGTAAAAGTAACATTATTTGATCGTAATGGAAAAAAACTTAAACGTAAAAAAACTAGTGTACAACGTGCATCAGATTGTCCAACATTTAATGAAGAACTTGTTTTTGAATTACGTCGTGATATAGCACACGAAGTTATGATTGAATTACGTATTGTACATGAATCTTTATCCTACAAAGAACAACTTGGTTCTATTATATTTGGTCCAACTATAAATAATATGATGAAAGCATCAATTAGCCCTGAAAATATTTATTGGTCAACAATTTTATCTGGTGAATCTCTCAATGCACAATGGCAAATCTTAAAAACACCAGTACGAATAGAAGAATCGAAGTGATAAAAAAAAATTTTCTTTGTTTAAGATAAATAAGAGAAAGAAACAAAGAAACACTCTTATTTTTTTCTTTTATGTGTGTCTCTGTGTGGTGTCTAGTCATAATTCTTTTTTTGTTGGATAAAAGAAAGAAATATATATATATATATATTGATGACTTAAACAATGAAATAAGTTTAGTTATTGAATTATATATATTTATATTATAAGAGTCATGAATAACATATTGTTGAATAAATATTTCAGGAAATGAGAAACCACGAACAAACTTCTATATAAGTTTCACTTATGTAGTCAAATGAAAATCTATTTTTGATTGAGGACAGAAAAAATAATGTGAATGCTAATATTCAATTATGCTATTCATCAATAAATAACGATAACAAAAGAAATGAAGGTGCCATTTGAAGTTTTTCATATAAAGGAAATGTTCAATGTGTGCAATTTAGTTAATAAAATAATAATAACCATGTCTGTATTCTCATTTAGGATGAAAGCGTTTTTTTAATCTATGAAAGAAAGCATCATTAGGAAAAAAATACATCTAGTACACCGATCGATAATGTTAAATAGAACTGTTATATTTACCTTTAGATTGATTTTTTATAAATAGAAAAACAGATGGAAATGCAAGGGATTAATTATGTTTATTTAATAATTAAACTATTAAAAAGAAAAGATATATTCTAAATATGATCGTATACTTTTATTTATATAATTATTAACATTCAAGGCATAGATAATAATCTTTGTAACATTATACGACATGCTTTCAATAAATAGCATGTTAACTTATGTAAGTATATCCGAACTAAACAAATTAAGATAGTATTTATTTTCAAATTAAATAGAATGAAAATACTTCAAGTCGAACGTCAACTATTATAATTGTGTCGATAATAGTTATTAATTTCATCTCAAACTATATTTAGTAATTATAGCTACAGCTCGTAATAAACAAGATATAGATAACTGAATTATAGGGCCATCTGATGTATCTCATAACTGATTTTCTTTTTTAAAGAAAAATGGTAAAAACAATTTTTTCGTAATTTATATTCGTCTACTTAAGTAAGTATTGCCTAGTTATAATGCATTTATCTGATTGCTATATTCTGTTTTCTTAGTAACTTCATTTTCTTTTTGTCTTGAGGCGTTTTTTATCATTCTTTCTCTTTCGATAAATGTGTTTTAGGTCGGTTTTAAGTAACATGTGCTTCTTTTCTCATACATTTTCTTTGCAAAATAAGAAACAGTAGTTTGATTATATCATTCAATCCATTAACAGAACCATTTTATAGACATGCCTCTATTCACTTTAACAAAAACGCTGATATAGACTGTTGATTAATTGTATTGTCAAGAATATCCCATGGGAATACATCGTGATGAATAATTCCATTAGTGCTTAGGGCTTTGATAGTATTGCATTGCAAATAATTAAAAAGGTCAAAGCTATTCAAAAACAGTCAAAAAACAATTTTCGCAAGATGAAATTTTTATCGGCAAGAGACCGCGAAGATACATCAAGAGAGCAAATATTATCATCTCATTAAAGAACTTATAAAGAAATAGCGTCACAGAAAAAATGATGCAACAATTTCATTATCAAGTTTTTATTTTAAGACCTTCCATATAATTTTCATTGTGGACTTATTAATAAGCTTCTTTTAATTTGACAAGTTAATAAGTATTAATCGTCATCTTAGAATAATTATATTTTCTATTTAATTTTTGAGTTTCAATTTTTGATTAATGTGGATTAGACGAATATAATAAATAATTTACAACAATTTTTTTTTTTAGTATTTATTTTGATATTTTGTAAGAATAAGAGCAAGAAGAAAGTAGACAAATAACAAAAAAAAAAGAAAAAAAAACGTTTAGGAAGATGAATTAATGAATTACTTGTAACACGAGGCCTTTTGAGTTATTATTTTTTGTCAAGTGATCTAAAGTTGAAAAAAATACCAATTCATCTTTTTGAAGAATGTCTAATAATCTTTTTGAAAAGAAAAGAACAAACAACGAACGTCCTTGTCTAAATGGAACATCTGCTTGTTCAAGTAAGGCTCAGTACTCTTTAAGTGAAATTCATGAGATTTATGAGTAAAAATTTGTCTTGTCTAAACTAAAGTCTTATCTAAGATAGATGTTTTGCTTTTTTCCTAAAATGGTTCTATTTCTGTTGATCTCGGGAGTAGCCTTATTGCTTGTCTACTAGATCTTTTTTTGTACTAAAAAAAGCTTTAAACTATCAGCGAGTCTGTTTGCATATGTAACCGGAATATCATCTAGTGGGGTTCCCTCAAATAGCTCTTGCCAAATTTGGTGAAAACAAGGACCAAGAGTGTGGATGTGCATTTATGGATGAAGAGGAGACTCACACCCACATCCTGCAATCATCAACTAAATACAATATGTGAAAATACAAAACTGTAGTAGAGATCAAGTAAGATTCTAAGCTCAGTCAAAATCGAATCGAACTATAGTTTCAACGATGGATCGAGTCAATTCGTATGATTCTACGTTTTTCTTTCAAAAGAAAACCATCACGGAGAGGTCGAATCATTATAACAGATTCGAGTTGTGACATGGAAGAAAAAGTGAGATCAAATCATCTCCGAGGCAGCTCTTCAGCAACGCATAAAAGTGTCATTGTCATCCATCAAATTTGTGTTCAATCGATTTCATGACGTGTTGTATTAGAGTTTCTATGAAAACTATCATAAAAATAAGACCTGTTTGACTCAAATATTAATTACGGAGAGCAACAAGTTTGTTTTCTTTGTACATCAACATGATAAAAGTATTACGTAAGAAAAAGCACAGCAATACTATGATGAAATTTGAAAGATCGAATTAGAAAGAAAACCATAAAAGAGACAAATATCTGACACTTCATACTAGAGTGTTGTCACTAGGGCATTTTATTTGTTTTTCTGCATACGAATGCAATTATTTTGTTAATTCATACGTCATCAATGCCCTAAGGAATTGCAATTCATATAATGAAAATTTCTTTCGAAATATGATTGTTATATCAATATGACAGAAAAACAAAATTAGCATTCACGATAATTGATTTCGAATGTCTTGCATAAGTTGCTGGAGCTTCCTCTTCTTATCTTCAAGCATCTTTCTTAATCGTTTGTACGCCTTAGCTACTAGTGCTTGCCAAAGTATGTTACTGGTGATACATTACGTTTCAAGTATAAAAATAACTATGGCTGTGGTCATCAGGACTATTAGACTATCTTGGTTGGTTGTGATTGCTGACCTTGAAAAATTAGAGAGAGTTGCCTGTTAATTGCTGGACGTCGCTCAACGTCAGTGTCCATAGACTATCAAATTGTTGTAGTTCAATGAAGTGGTCAAACCAACTCCTTCTTGTTAGTGAACCACTTCACTACTGATTCTTGGAGTGATTGACAATCTGTGGATAGTGCTGTTTTGGTAGTCATAATTGATTCTCGACTAGCAATAGAACAAAATTGTTTGGCTCTCTCTGTAGCAGCTACTCGTCTAGAAGAAGAAAAGTATTCTGCCGAATAAGTCGCGATGCAATCAAGTGAATGACATGTTGTAAAGTCGAACGGATTTTGTCAATGACACTAGCATTACTTGATCTTTCACAGAACGGTTCACGTACAAAACTATGAATTGAAAAAGAAAATGGAGTGTGTTAATGATTATTTATCTTTTAATATTTGGTCCAGTAGAATGAAGCTATCGATTATATTAACGTCAGTGATTTGTTAGCGGTCATCGAATTTGATCGACATTTCTCGAAGGATCATGTCGATTTGGTTACCGTTTTCAGTGCCAACTCATCATTCAATACCGACAAAAGTCGTATGAGGACTTAAAACCTTGTGTTTCAATTATAGTTCCATTATTCACTGTTTGGTCTTGTCCATTAATATTGATATAGTTTCATTCTTTTCTTCCGATACTTTCGCCATACCTTAGAATCTAGATTGTAACAATCCCATATGCATTGTTTTTGAAGCCAACTTAGTATGTTGTAGTTCAAGAATGGGGGCTTTAGCGACAAAACATGTAATTGTTCTATCGTCACTTACACTTGGTACTTGATTGATTTTAGTCAGGATCAATTGATGTTCGTCATGTCGGAGTTCAACCGAAGCATTGTGATTGAACGATTTCGATGCATCATCCATAATTCCATAGACAATTAATCGATCGTTGACATAAGCAGATGGTAATGTACTTCGTACGGATTCAACATTCACCTCATTCAGATGCTATTGAACTTGAAGATGGACGATAGACGGCTGACGAGCTTTTTGTAGTTGTTTTCCTACATAAGCGTCTACACTCGTATTCGATCGTATAAAAACGAATTGACCAATGATCGACTAGGCGATTGATTCTAAGCCGAATGAAAAGATTTGTGTCGATAATGCTATCGGACGACATAAATCGAGTACTTCTGCAACATTCGATATTTTATAGTCAGTAAGAAGAAAAATTTGCCGAAATTGATTTTGTTCAGGTGAGTGTTGTTCGAGCTATTCGAGTGGCTTCAACTATAAACAAACCTATAGAGCAAAGTTAAACAACAAAAAACAAAAAAACATTTACGAGTTGTGTGCCACCCAAATTTGCTTGCATTTGTTTTATGAGTACTTCAGCTTTCCGAATATTATCTTCATTGTGAACAACGACTATTCTATTGAAAAGTACTTTATGTGCCGATCTAAATTGAATGACGTTGAAATAACAATTAACAGGAAGACTTTTGAGAAAAAGCACCATTACCTATCGAGTTAGTTCGATTTTGTTTTTATCGCTCGCTGATCTCAATCAATAATAAAAAGAAGCTCATTTGTTTCATGTTCGATCTTTGTTATCCTTCGAGAATCTTCTACTGTCGGAGTGAATATCGCCATTATTGCACCTCTATCAAACTGTCACGATCGAATTCTTGCGATTGTTGACCAGTTCGATAGTTAGAAGAATATCTCGATTCAAATGAA